TGCATGTATGCATGCATGTATGTGTGTATGTATGTATGTATGTATGTATGTATGTATGTATGTATGTATGTATGTATGTATGTATGTATGTATGTATGTATGTATGTATGTATGTATGTATGTGTGTATGTATGTGTGCATGCAGGTCGGTAGATATGACTGTATATGTGTGTGGGTGATATATAACTATGCATGTATGCATACATGTATGTATGTATGCATATGTGTATACATGTATGTATGCATGTATGTATGTAGGTATATATGTATGTATGTATGTGTGCATGTATGTATGTATATATGCACGCATGCATGCATGTGTGCACGTATGACTGTATACGTATGTATGCATGTATGTATACATGTATGTATGTATGTATGTATACGTATGTATGTATGTATGCATGCATGCATGTATGTATGTATGTATGCGTTTACGCATGTATATACGTGGGAATGTATGCATGCCTGTATGTATGTGTGTGTGTATGTATGCATGTGCGTGTGTATGTAAGACTGTAGGTACGTAGGCCCGAACGCCTGTCTGGCTGTTTGTCTGTCTATATGTATGTGTGCATGCATGTATGCATGTGTGCATGCATGTATGCATGTGTGTATGAACGCATGCGTGAATGCATGTATGTCAACAGGTACGCATGCGTGTATGTATGCATTTGTGCGTATACATATGTATTCAGACATACAAATTCTTAGTAAACAGAGCACCGTTCTCTGCGGACCCTTCCCCGTCCTTATTTTTGCGGATCCCCATCCTTGAGCTGATTCCTGCGGCCCCTGGAAAGTTTCGTGGGGTTCATTGTAGGCCCCTGGAGGCCCCCCAAACGTCTTTTGGGGGCCTCTGGGGGTTTCTTGGAGTCATCATGCTGTCCTTCGCTGCTCCCCTCAACGGCCAACTCCCGATTTAGAATGTTGGGGGGTGTCTTGGGGCCATCTTAGGCCGTCTTGCGGCGTTCTCGGGGCCATCTTGGGGCCTGTCCGGCTGTGCTTGGGCTCTCCTGGGCCGTCTTGATGCCGCTTGCACAATCTTGGGGCGATCTTGGAAGCCTCTCTGGGGATCAGAGACGCGTGGAAGATAGAAGAATCGCGTGGTGGGCGCGCGGAGGCGCTAAGGGGCTCTCGCGGGGCAGTTGAGGAGGAGGAAGCGAAGGAGGAGGAGGAAGAGGAGGAGGAGGAGGGCGGGGAAACATGGATTTGTTATTTTTATTCCCCCTGCCGTGGGCGGGTGGCGACGAAAGACGGGGCCGAGGAGGAAGCAACGACGACCCCAAACCTCAGAGACGACAGCGCGGGGGGACAGAAAACGAGAGGGGAGGCGACAACACGGCGAGACAAGACGGAACGAAGCAAAACGGCAAGAGAACCCAGCGGGACCGACGCCGCACCGCGGCGCCGACGCCGCCGAACACCACCTACTCCCAAAAAGGCAATCTGGGACGCCGAAGCCGCCGTCCTCCACGAACCTCCCGCGAGACAATCTGGGACGCCGAAGCCGTAGCACACCACATACGGCCCAAGAGGAAAATCCGGGTCGCCGAGGCCTCGCCCACCACGTAAGCCCAAGAGGCAAGCCATAGGAACCCAAGCCATGCCCGTGCCAAGACGCAGCCTCAGAGATCACAGTCGCGAGATACTCCTGCTCCCTACAGGGACGCTGATCTCCACCCATGAAGAACCCTAAGTGAGATCAGGAATTCGTCGACCATGCTCCTTGTAAGACCCGTCGTCATACTTGACCTTGGGCTTCTTCCTGAGGTTTGGCTGATACCTTGCCAGCAAGGTGCCCGGCACGGAAGCCTCGGCCTGCGCCGTGATGGCCAGGGCATTTGCAGAAAGGTCATCAGCATTGGGAGCGTGCAGGCGCATGCAACAGATCCGCACGACCAACAAAAAGCAGTCCGACTCTCCTGGGGAAGCTCTGCGCGCCCCCGGTGACTAGCACCTCCAGCAGGATGCAGATCCCAAGCGCCATGAACATCGCCCCTTCCAGAAGGACGACCAGCAGGAATGTAGGTGCCACCGCCTGCAGGATGAAGACCCCCCGCGTGAAGAGAGGCACCGCGAAGATCGACAGGAACATCGCCAAGAAGACAGGCAACGCGAAGACCAGCATCACGAAGGTCCCCACCAGGACCTCGAAGATGTCCAACAGGAAGATCAGCAATAATACCGCGAAAATCACGAGCAGGAGAATTGGCACCATCGCCAACATGCGGAAGATCCCCAACAAGAAAATCGGCAGGACGATCGGCATCACCGTCTGTAGGAAGATCAGCACCACGAAGATGACCCCTCCAGGATGCGGATCCCCAGCACCACGAATATCCACAGCACCAAAACGAGGAGCTCCATCAGCATAAGATCGGCAGGAAGGTTGGCAGGAATATCCCCAGCGCAAGGAGGATCGCCCCACTCCTGAGTGATGTTATGCAGGATGATCATCGTTATCGCAAGGGGCCACGCACATCAGCGTACAGAAACACACCCCCAGCAGGATGCATACACCCAGCATCACAATGATCATTCCCTCCAAAGGAAGCCCGACAGCGCCACCAGAAACGTCGCCTTCATCATGAACGTCGTCAGGAAGATCGGCAGGAGCATGGAGGTCCGCAGCACCCGGAACAGCAGCTCCAAGGAAATAGTCCTCCTCGTGCCCGTGCGCGTCAGAACCGTCCATGGCCACCCCATGAACCACATCGAAGTGGCGCAGCATCAAGGCCGCCTGCGTCGCAGCATTCCGAGCCCACATGTCGTCCCCATCGCCGTCGCCATCCATGCCTCCAGGGGAGTCCATGGGCGGTACCGTCGCATGCTGCATGCCGTGCGCCGCCTGGCGCCCATCCTCGAGCGCACGGAACACCTGGTTGCACTGGGCGGACGTCACGCGCCTGATGATCTTGAACGCGTGAGAGAGGTCGGATATCTGCTTCACGGCCTTTTTGCCGAGCTGGGGCGCGCCAGCCCGCCGCCGAACATGAAGAAGACCACCCCTGATGGTGCTCACGTGCCGTTGCTGGTGCACCGCGAGCACCTCCAGGGCCGTGAGCGAGGTCGACAGCAGCAGAGGCCGAGGGCCGCCATCCTGAGTGGCCGCCGAAGGGTGCCGATGGGCGCGAGGCGCCACATGGAACATGGACGCAGGGTGCCGTCGGGCTCGGTCCGCCAGAGCCCGAGAGGCGATTGAGCCCAAATGCCTCCTCCTCCTCCTCCTCCTCCTCCTCCTCCTCCCCCTCCCTCCTCCTCCCCCATCCTCCCCCTCCTCCCCTCCTCGTCGTCGTCGTCCTCCTCCTCCTCCTCCTCCTCCTCCTCCTCCTCCTCCAAGAGGCGGAGGAGGAGGAGGCGGAAGAGAAACGCAAGAACGCAGCTTCGCGCGGCCGTCCGGAGGTTCACAGACGACGGCAGGCGCGGCTCCCAAGGGCCGCGGCAGCCCCTGGGCGAGGATGACAAGGAAGGGGCCGACCACGGACCTCATGTGCAGGAGAGGGGGGGAGGGTACGGTGGGCCAGCACGCGACACGGCTAGGCTCTCACCATTCCCCACTGCCGCTGCCAACATCAGCTCGGGCTTCTCGGCGGACCTCTCGACGAGCGCCGCCGCCACGCCCGCGAGGTCGCGGCCCGCAGGGAACGCCCAGAGCGCGCTCGAGAATATAGACTCCCTCGGCATCCTGCTGCTGCTGTTGCTGCTGCGACGCCGCCTCTGCTCCGCCAGCCACCGCCGCCGCCGCCGAAGCGGCCCAGCCAGCCGAAGTAGACTTCTGCCGCCGCCTCCGCGTCAGCCCAGGAGTCGTCGACAAAGGCGTCGTCGTGGCCGTCGGCCGAAGCGGCGCGCTTCGGGCCGACTAGCGCCACGGGCGCGCCAGCCTCCATCGCCGCCTCGTCCGCCACCGCCGCCTCCCCGCGCTCCAGAGCACGCCGCTCAGCAGAGCGCTGGTGGTGCTCAGGGCGCCGCTCCCGCTTCGCCGCCGAGGAAGCGCGCGCTGGAGCAGCAGCCACAAGCCTGCGGGACACCGCGTCGTCGTCGTCGGAAACATGCGGTTCCTTCAGCGTCGCCGCAGCAGCGAAAGCCGCTGCGGACATTGCACAGCGCGCAACTGCTGTCACGGTTCGCCGCGCGGCACCGCCATCCACGGCCGCGCGGACCGCCGCCGCCACCAGGGGCGCGAGGTCAGCAGGGGCCAGGAAAGCCCCTCTAAGCCCCGCCATGCCGTCGCCTCCCGAGGGGAGGCGCCGAGGAGGAGGGCCGTGAAGCCGCTTGAGCCGACATGGCTTGAGCCGAAGTGGCGACGAAGAGAAGGAGGAGGAGGAGGAGGAGGAGGAGGAGGAGGAGGAGGAGGAGGAGGAGGAGGGAGGAGGAGGAGGAGGAGGAGGAGGGGAAGGAGGAGAAGGGAGGAGGGAGGAGGGAGGAGGAGGGAGGCAACAGGACGAGAACGGGGGGAGGATGAGATGAGACCACGGAGGTGGACAACGAGGAGGAGGAGGAGGAGGAGGAGGAGGAGGAGGAGGAGGAGGAGGAGGAGGAGGGGAGGAGGAGAAGGAGGAGGAGGAGGAGGAGGAGGAGGAGGAGGAGGAGGAGGAGGAATACAAGAAGAAGGAGGAGGAGGAGGAGGAGGCGGAGGAGGAGGAGGAGGAAGGAGGGGGGAGGAGGAGGAGGAGGAGGAGGAGGAGGAGGGGAGTACAGGAGGGAGGGGAAGGATGAGGGAAGGGCAGGAACATGAGGGGGGGGGGGCGGAGGGGAAATAGCAGGAGCAGGTTCAGGAGCAGGAGGTGGAGGAGCATGATGATGATGATGATGATGATGATGATGATGATGATGATGATGATGATGATGATGATGATGATGATGATGATGATGATGATGATGCTGATGCTGATGCTGATGCTGATGCTGATGCTGCTGATGATGAGAAGGAGAAAGAGAAAAAAGAAGAAGAGGATGCTGATGGCTTCCTCCCTGCCCCCCTGCGCCGGACACATGGCCTCGCGCGCCCGGCTTGCGTCCAGCACCTTGCCATTGCCCTTGCCGCCCATGGGCGGTGGGGATCCGGTCTCGGATGCCTCGTGCGGTGGATGAGGGGACAAGGACAAGGAAAAGAAGGAGGGTTGAGGACAAGGAGGGAGGGAGGGAGGAGGAGGAGGCGGAGGAGGAGGAGGACAAGGAGGAAGACAAGGAGGAGGAGAAGGAGGAGGAGGCTGAGGAGGAGGAGGAGGAGGAGGAGGAGGAGGTAGGACTGCGGGGAAGGAGGGGGGGGAGATCGAGGAGGGATGATGAGGGGGAGGAGGAGGATGATGAGGAGCATGAGGATGAGGATGAGGATTGTGATGGTGATGGTGATGATGATGTTGATGTGGATGATGATTGTGGTGGTGATGGTGGTGATGACGACGACGATGATGATGCTGGTGATACTGATGATGCTGATGATGCTGGTGATGGTTCTGATGCTGATGTAGGTGAGTATGATGCCGCTGCTGATGACGATGACGATAATGATGCTGCTGATGATGCTGATGATGATGCTGATGATGACGATGCTGATGATGATGATACTGATGATAATGATGATGATGCTGAGGAGGAGGAGGAGGAGGAGGAGGAGGAGGATAATGAGGAGGAGGAGGAGCGTGGTGGGGGAAGGAACGAGGGAATGGGGGATGATGAGGATAGGTAATGGCCAAAGAGAATCACCAGGAAACCCTCGCGTCCCAAGACCGATTCATCAGGAGTCCCTACAAACATCCCGTTTCACTGCGGGGAGGCCCTCCACCCCCTCTCAGACGATCGCTCGATGGGCCTGTCATTCAAGTGAGAACACGCTTCGGCAAGGCACCGCACTCCATCCTTCTGGCCACTCTTTGGGCAACACCCGCCTTCCATTCAACGGCTGGACACGTTGAAGACGAATGCGCACGGCCTTTTAACATGAACCACATGTCGTAAACAGCGACTGCTGCACGGTGTACAAAAACTGCAGGGGGCATCCTTTAGGGAAACACGCAAGGCTGTTGCCCGCAGGGTGTCTGGCGCAGCCTGTGTAACAACCTAAGGTAACGCCACTGGGGCAACGGAACATAGGGTTGTCCGCGGGGTGCCTGTCGCGAACTTGTGGCGTAACCCACAACAGACCCGCTGGGGCAACGGACGAGTTGGTTGACTGCAGCGCGTCTTGTTAATCCTACGGCGCAACCTGCGCCAGCTCCATTGGGGCAACAGCATATTTGGTTGGCCACATGGTGTGTGGCGCGACCTGAGGCAGAACCAAATGGGGGTAACAGACGATTGGGTTGCCAACGGGGTGTCTGGCGCAACCTTTGGTGCGACCTACGGCAGACCCTTTGGGGCAATCCACGATTTGTTTTCCCGCGTGGTGTCTTTGCACAACCTGTGGCACTTTTGGGGGGCAACGAACGACCTGGGCTAACCTCAAGGTGTCTGGCACAACCTATGGCAGAGCCGCTGGGACAACGAACGACTTGGGCTGTCCGCAAGGTGTCTTGCGCAACCTATGGCGCGGCCTACGGCACACGCATTGGGAACGGACCGACCTTGCTGCCCGTGTGGGGTCTGGCACAATGAATGGCAGGGCCACTGGGGCATCGACCACCTTGGGTTGTCCACAAGGTGTCTTGCAAACCATATGGCGCGACCTACGGCAAACGCATTGGGAACGGAACGAACTTGCTGCCCGCGTGGTGTCTGGCACAACCTATTGTCCGTTTGCGGCAGCGAACGGCTTGGGCTGTCCACAACGTGTCTTTTGCAACCTAGGGCACGACCTACGGCAGACGCATTGGGATCGGGACGAACTTGTTGCCCGCGTGGTGTCTGGCACAGCCTATGCCAGAGCCACTGGGGCAAGGAACGACTTGGACTGCCCGCAAGGCGTCCTGCGCAACCTGAGGCGCGACCTACGGCAAGCGCATTGGGATCGGGACGAACTGATTGCCCGCGTGGTGGTCTGGAACAGCCTATGGCCGAGCCACTGGGGCAGCGAACGACTTGGGCTGCCCGCAAGGTGTCTTGCGCAACCTGAGGCGCGACCTACGGCAGACGCATTGGGAGGACGAACTGGTTACTCGCGTGATGGTCTTGCACAGCCTATGGCCGAGCCACTGGGGCAGCGAACGACTTGGGCTGCCCGCAGGGTGTCTTGCGCAACCTGAGGCGCGACCTACGGCAGGCGCATTGGGAGGACGAACTGGTTGCCCGCGTGGTGGTCTGGCACAGCCTATGGCCAAGCCACTGGGGCAGCGAACGACTTGGGGCTGCCCGCAGGGTGTCTTGCGCAACCTGAGGCGCGACCTACGGCAGACGCATTGGGATGACGAACTGGTTGCTCGCGTGGTGGTCTGGCACAGCCTATGGCCGAGCCACTGGGGCAACGAACGACTTGGGCTGCCCGCAGGGTGTCTTACGCAATCTGAGGCGCGACCTACGGCAGACGCATTGGGAGGACGAACTGGTTGCCCGCGTGGTGGTCTGGCACAGCCTATGTCTTGCCCGCGGGGTATCTGGCGCTATATTTGGCGCAATCTACGGCAGACCCACTGGGGCAACGGACGATCTGCCTGCGCGCGGGGTGTCTTGCGCAGCCCACGGCGGATCCGCTGGGGCAACGGGCAACTTGGAGACGCGCGGGGGCCTCTTGCGCAACTTGCGGCGTACCCTTCTGGGGCAACGGACGCCTTGCTTGCTGGCGGGGTGGCGGAACTTATGGCGCAAGTGGTGGCCCTCCTTGTAGGTAAAACCATGTACACGGCCCGCCTTTCATCTTTCTACCTGCTGCAAGATTTGTAGCGAATGTGCGAGGCGCTAAAGATTCGCATTCCATCCGTGAAGCTGCTGTGAAATTCCAGCTCCAGGGTCATGCCATGCGAGGAAGCCAGGCGCGAAAGGCAGGGCCCACCCGACTGACACGTTCGGTGCTTGCTAATGCTACGGGGAGGAAGTTAGCAATGAGGGGTTGTTTGGGAGGATGGCGGACGAGGGAGGACGAGGCACGAGAGAGAGCGAGAGAGATGATGCATCAGGGTGAGGGAGGATGTGAGACAGAGATAGAGGGATCATGAGATAGGGCAGGAGGTAGGAAGGAAGGATAGATATAGCAAAAGGGAAGGAGGGATGGAGGATAAAGGGGGAAGAGGCGGATGACAGAGGAGGCTGGAGGCAGTGGAGGCTGGCGGCAACATGGAGAGGAAGAAGCTGGAGGGATGATGACGGAAGGAAAGCCAGATCAGGATGGGGATGGGGGAGGAGGGGGAGGGCGAGGAGGATGATGGGGATGACGACGATGAAAACGATGGCGGCAGAGCAGGCATGCCGAGAGCCAATGGTGGGTGTAGCAGGCGATGCCCTTCACCAACGACTCCTGGCCCTCTGCTGCGCCCTTCCTCACCGAGGTCCTGCTCACAATACTCCTCCTCCCCCTCGGCTCCTCCTCGGCCTCCTCCTCCTCCTCCTCCTCCTCCTCCTTGCCGCTCCGCCTCCGTTTCCACCTCCTCCTCCTCTTCTGCACGCCACCAAGCTTTGTGATTCGCGCAAGGCGATAGACGACGCGCGGTCATCCGCATGCGCTCGCTCACGATAATTACAGGCCGCGACGCGCGTCGCGGGTGAACCTTCGCGGTGATCTAGGCGGTGGGGAGGGGTGGTGTGGGGTCGGGGAGGAGCGACGGGGAGGCATAGGGGCGGACAAGGGAGAGCGAACGGGCGGGGCGGAGAGGAGCCACGGGGAGAGGGGACAGACATTGGAGGAGCAGGAGGAGGAGGAGACGGAGAAGGAGGCGACGGAAACGAAGAAGAAGGAGGAGGAGGACGAGGAGCAGCCAGAGGAGGAGGAGGAGGAGGAGGAGGAGGAGGAGGAGGAGGAGGAGGAGGAGGAGGAGGATCAGAAGGAGGAGGATGATGATGATGAGGAGGTAGGAGGATGAGGATGGAGGAGGAGGAGGATCAGAAGAAGAATACTAATAATACTAAGAAAGCGAAGACGAATAATAACACCAAGAAGACGAATGAGGAGGAGGAGGAGGAGGGGAGGAGGATGAGGAGGAGGAGGAGGAGGAGGAGGAGGAGGAGGGGAAAGAGGAATAATAGTACGAGAGCGACAACTAGGACAAGGAGAAACGGATGACGAGGGAGGGATGCAGGGAGGGAGAGAGAGAGGGAGGAGGTGGAGGATGATGAGGGAGGAGGGAGGGAGGGAGGGAGGGGGGAGGGAGGGAGGATGGAGGAGGAGAGGAGGAGGGAGGATGAGGAGGCGGAGAAAGATGATGGGGGAGGAGACGGATGAGGATGAGACCACGGAGGTGGACAACGAGGAGAGAGAGGAGGAGGAGGAGGAGGAGGAGGAGGAGGAGGAGGAGGAAGGAGGAGGAGGAGGAGGATGAGGGGGGAGGAGGAAGGAGGAGGAGGAGGAGGAGGAGGAGGAGAGGGGGAGGAGGAGGGAGGAGGAGGAGGAGGGGAGGAGGAGGAGGAGGAGGAGGAGGAGGCGGCGGAGGAGGGGGGAGGGGGGGGGAAGGAGGGAGGAGGAGGAGGAGGAGGAGGAGGAGGAGGGGAGGAGAGGAAGGAGGAAGAGGATGAGTGATGGATGATGATGATGATGATGATGATGAGATGATGATGATGATGAATGATGATGATGATGTGATGATGATGATGATGATGATGATGATGATGATGATGATGATGATGATGATGATGATGATGATGATGATGATGATGATGATGATGATGATGATGATGATGATGATGATGATGATGATGAGGGCGAGGAGGAGGAGGATGAGGATGAGGAGGAGGAGGGATGAGGATGAGGAGGGGGAGGGGAGGATGGGGGGAGGAGGCGGAGGAGGAGGAGGAGGAGGAGGCGGAGGAGGAGGAGGAGAGGAGGAGGAGGAGGAGGAGGAGGAGGAGGAGAGGAGGAGGAGGAGGAGGAGGGGGAAGGAGGAGGAGGAGAGGAGCGGTAGAGGAGGAGGAGGAGGAGAAGGAGGAGGAGGAGGAGGAGGAGGAGGAGGAGGGAGGAGGAGGATGGAAGAGGAGGAGGAGAGGAGGGGAGGAG